TTTGCTTTTTTCTTTTTTTTCCTTTTTTTTTTTTTTTACACTGTTTTCTATCAGTTGCATTTTTAAGGAAGATTTAAACACATATCAAAACAATCTCCACCTACATATCTTACGACAACAGATAATCTGCCACTGTTCCAGGTTCGAGAGGATTCCCAAGATCACAAACACTGAGACACAAAGGGTGCTCACACAAAAAACAGCTTTCCCTGCTTTTTTCCACAGGTAAAGCAAGTGTGCAAGGGGCACTTGGCCCCAGGCAAGATGCTTTTACAGCCACTTGAAGCAGCCCAAAGTGGATCTGGCTGGCAAATGGGATTATGCCCATGCTTTCAAGGAGGATTTGCATAGTACATTGAGGGGAAACAGGGCCATTTCTTCACTACTGAAGGGATGAGAAAAGGGGGGAGCAGGTGCTGTGGCCCCAGAGCTTCTCTCTGCTTTGGGGTCAGTTCTGTGTTTTCCTCTGTCCATTGAATTCCCAAGAAAGAAGGAAAAGGCTACAGGAACTCCAGTCTGGAGTGGTCAGGACATGGGGAAGCAGGGGAATTTTTCTTCCCAGCTGGGATTGAGAGTGCAATTTCACACTCCTTTGCAGAGCATTAACTAAGACATCCCATTGCTGCCCAGGGATCTCCCAGGGGGAACTCAATCCGGGCTGTGGGCAGGTCCCTGCAGGGGCAGCAGCTTCCTCTGCACATTTGAGGTGATAAAGCTGCTCTAACCCTGCACTCCAACTACTCCACAGCAATTTAGGACCTCTGAGGACAGTTCCCCACTGTTTCCACCCCAGCAGAGACCTGAACACGTCCTGTGGGCACTGTGTGACCACCCCTGGCATGAACACCCTGCAGGAATGAAGACACTGACTGTAAATCCACTTGTCTACCTGTAAACCTCAACTTTCTTTGCTACTATACAGCAATAATATTTTCTATTCATATTGCAGCATTCCAAAGTGAAGCAATGCTAAACAATGAAAGTCTTGAACCCTCCCCCCCAAACCAGCCCCACTTTCTGCTTTCAGAACCAGCCCCACTTCCTCACTCTCTTCACAAAGGGAGAAACTCTCTCTTTCCACCTCCGAAACAAAAATTCCCTCCCCAAAAGTGATCAGAAAGAGTCTACTTAGGCACTACTGCAAATGGAAGTTGTCCAACAACCATTCCTTTAACTCAGGAAGGGGAGGAGGTGAAGAAAGTCACAACAAATGTTTGGATTCCTTCCCCTTTGATGTGTTCTCTTCCCTATCTGTCGCTCTGGGACATGTGCAGGGGGTCAGCATCTCTTCAAAGATGGCTCCTTTCACATCAGAGCCCCTCAAATTGGCTTCCTGAAGGTCACAACCTGAAAGGTCATGATTCTGAAGGGGAAAAGCAAAAGAAGTGTCAATGGAATGCACCCAGAACTCTGTTCAAAGCTTTACTTGAAGTCCATTTACCTGAACTCCATTGTACTCCGAAGCTGGAGAGGTCAGCCAAAAGCCAGCAATCCCCCAAATTACCAGCTGACTTTAGGATAGGAAGGAATAGGATGGAAAATGAATCCCAACTCACTTCCAAATCAGTTTCAGCCAACGTTGCTCCCCTGAGGTTACAGTTCTTTAGTTTAACGTTTCTCAGCGCTGCAACTCGGAGGTTAATTCCTGTCATCTGACTGCCCTCCATGGCCACTCCTTTCAGGTTGACACCTGGAACACACACAAAAAGGAGTTCTGGGAGGAAAACCAGTCAGAAACACAGCAGCTCCACACTGGTGCTGCCTCAGAGCTGTGTGAATTGGAGGAGGACAAGGGGATTTCGGGCTGAGATGGTCACAGACTCAGTGCAGCCCTTGTGGGCCCTTCTCAGGATTCTACAAACCACAGCTGGAACTTTTCTGGGCCATAGAAATGTACAAACACAGGCTTCAGTTGGCACAGATTCACAAGGCAAAAGCTTCTTACCTTCCAGATGAGCTTTAAGACCTGATGGGTCCTCAGAGTTGCAGCCTTTCAGGGACGCTCCCTCTGCGTTGGAGCGCAGCATCTTCCCCCCTGGCAGGTTGGCACACTGGCACAGACAGGAGTCACTGAGAGCCGGAAGAACAACACCAAAGACAATCAAGAAGACACTTTTAATTTCTGCTTTGGCAGTCAATCCCATTAAATCATTACTGTGAAGAAGTGTAAAAGCTTTGGGAACCAGAACAACTCTAGAATCTATTTAAGAACTCGATGTTTTACACTGCTCTGTTTGTTCCAGCTCCTCTCTGTTAACACAAGCCCAGCCCTCCCAAGCTGCAGCAGCTCTTCCATCCAGCACAGAGCCTGACAGGTCAGCCCTCTCCAGGCTGGCCCAGCACAGGTTGGCACGGGCCAGGTTGCAGCGGCTCAGATTGGCCATCTTGAAGTTGATTTAACAAAGATCCAGGTGGGAAAGATCCGCTCCACTGAAACTGAGACCCTGGAAATCCCAAAGAATAAACCCCCCCAAAAAGGTTACACAGGGGAAGGGATAGGTCTGGACACAAGGTTAACATCATTGTGTAGATAGGTGTTGTGCTGGTTTAAAAGTTAACCAGCAGGGGAAATGAACTCAACTCAAAAGAGAGATTATAAGTCAGAATAACAATTTATTAAAATAATGCAATAAGTACAATTATACAGACAGACAAGTGGTTTTAACCCACAAATCCCAAATGTATAACCCAGCACCCTGGGGCATGAACAAAAGTGGTGTTCCTTGGCCCCCTGAGTCCAAAGTAAAGGGAGAAGGGAAAAAAAACCTGCTGATGGGAGAGCTGCTGCCGTCTGGTCAGAAAGTGGTGATTGCAGTCTAGCGGAGGGTGGTGGTCTCAGTCTGGTTGAGAGCGGTGAGCTGCAGTCTGGTTGAGAGCGGTGGTCTGCAGTCTTCCTCTGGATCCCACGAGTGGTAAAAAGGTTCCGAAACTCCCAGTTTATATATTCTCCAGTTCAGGCGGGAGTGCTCAGTCCCTCCCTCAGAGCGGGGAATTCCATAAAAGGGTATCAGAGCAGGGAATTCCATAAAAGGGTATGAGGACAGGAACATCTTCCCACCTTGCAGGCCTCTACTGACAACAGTTTCTGGGCAATGGCATGGAAGGCTATAGAATACACAGGTTTGGGTTACACTCATCCAGTGATGAATTGGTCCCAGCCGTTCCAACCAGGACACCCATTGATCCCCATTGTTTAATGGGTAGACCTGATGTCTCATCCCCATAGATTTTAATGGGTAGACCTGATAGCTCATTGATCCCCATTTAGTTTAATAGGTAGACCTGATGTCCTATTTGCCCCAGGTAGACCTGGTCTCACTTATCCCCATTGACTTTTATGGGTAGACCTGATATCCCATTTGCCTCACTGAGTAATGGGTAGACCTGATTTCCCATTGTCCCTATTACATTTAATGGGTAGACCTGTTGTCTCATCTCCATTGACTTTAATGGGTAGACCTGATAGCTCATTTATCCCCGTTGACTTTAATGGGTAGATCTGATGCCCATTAACCCCTATTGACTTTAGTGGGCAGACCTGATAGCCTATTAACTTCCAGACTTTTAATTGGTAGATCTGATGTCCAGTTTGCCCCATTTTATCCAAAGGGTAGACCTGATGTCCTATTTGCCCCATTGACTCCAATGGGTAGACCTGATGGCTCATTTATCCCCATTGACTTTAATGGGTAGACCTGATGTCCCATTTGCCCCGATGACTCCAACGGGTAGACCTGATGACCTGGATTTTTGGGGTGCCTCCTTGTCAACTCCCCCAAAACATTGTGTGGACACACTGGGGGTTCAGCAGAGCCCCCTCAAATGCCCCCTGGGGTCCCCCTGAGATATTGGGGTACCCTCTTTGCCCCTCCCAGAGCTGGAGCTGGTGCAGAACCCCGTCTTCACCGACCCCACCGACCAGAGTGCCTGGGTCTACCTGCACTGCATCCTCTCCTGAGGTAATTTGGGGGGGACAGGGGGTCCCTTCAGACCTGGGTCCTTCACCTGGGTACCAGGGGACACCCCCTGAATGTCGGGGTCTCCCCCAAAAAGCCACCCCCCCGCCGAGGATCATCTGCGTGTACGTCAACCGAGAGGACGCCACGTTGGTCGTCGTCTTCTCCCGCCCTGTTGTGGTGAGTCAGGATGCTTGGATTCCCCCCCCACCCCCAGAAAACTTCTGGGTCCCCCCCTCTGTACATCTGTGAACCCCTTGGACACCTGGATCTCCCCTCCCCCAAAAAACCCCCCCCAAAACAGTGCGGCCTGACCTACTGAGATCACTGGACTCTATTATAAACTTTATGGGTAGACCTGATGGCCCAGTGATCCCCATTGACTTTAATGGGTAGACCTGGTGTCCAGTTTGCCCCTTTGACTTTAATGGGTAGACCTGATGTCCCATTAGTCCCGTTGACTTTAATGGGTAGACCTGATGACCTATTTATCCCTATTGACTTTAATGGGTAGACCTGGTGTCCCCTTGGCCCCATTGACTTTAATGGGTAGACCTGATCGCCTATTGATCCGCATTGACTTTAATGGGTAGACCTGATGTCCCATTTGTCCCATTGGCTTTAATAGGTAGACCTGATGTCCAGTTTGTCCCCATTTACTTTAAAGGCTAGACCTGGTGCCCTCTTTGCCCCATTGTCTTTAATGGGTAGACCGGTTGTCCCCTCAACCCCATTGACTTTAATAGGTAGACCTGATACCCTGAATATTTTGGAGCTAAAAACGTCCATTTTGGGGATCGGGAAAGCTCCGATTTTGGGTTAAAACCCAACCGTTTCTGCGCCTCCAGGTGAGCCCGGATGGCCCGGACCTGACGGCGACCCTGGATGGCTCCGCCCTGGAAGGGGCGTGGCGCTCAGGGGAAGGGTGGCCACGCCCCAGCCACACCTGGGTATCCTTTCCCCTAAACAGGAGGGTGGGGCTGGGGTGGGCGGGGCTTAGGGCGGGGCATGGGGGCGTGGCTCTCCCAACACACCTTGACAGGTATCAAAGCTCCTGGACCTGCCCCGACCTGCAGAGGCCCCGCCCACCGAGCAGCCACGCCTCCAGCTGGGCGTCACCTGGGAGCCCGACTCCGCCCACCACCAGGTGATGCTGCTGCCAGGTGAGAGCTACGCCCAATCCCTGCCACGCCCCTTTGAGCCACGCCCCCTTTCGCCATGGCCATGCCCCTTTTCTCTCCTAGACGAGGACAAGGCCTGGTGGCAGAAGCCAATCGTGGCCCAGGAGCTGTTTTGGTAAGCCACGGCCCCCGGAGAAAACCACGCCCCCTAGATGAGGTCCCGCCCCCCGGGAGAAAGCCACGCCCAATCGGCGAGGCCTCGCCCACCTGGACCTTTCCTTCAGTCCCTCTTATGTTTCCCTATGGGGTGAGCAAGCCACGCCCCTTTCTGGCTAAACCACGCCTATTTGCTGCTAAGCCACGCCCCTCTCTTACTAAGCCACGTCCCTTTGCTGCTAACCCACACCCCTCATGGCTAAACCACACCCCTTTGATTAAGCCCTGCCCACCTCGACCCTCTTTTAGCCTCCCTTTGCTTCTATCCCAATACGGGCTCAAGCCACACCCCTTTTAGCAAAACCACGCCCCTTTCTGACCAAACCCCGCCCCCTCAGGCCCAAGGTGTGCGTGGTCAACCCCC